CCTGGTGAGATTGATGTTGCTGTGCCATGGAGTCAGAGCAGACCCTAGCTGACCCTCCAGTGGGCCTTCAGAAGTTATCAAATACACAAAAGGAGATTGTTCATGTTTTTTTCACAGAACAGCCAGTGGATTCAAACCACCTGCCTTTGGGTTGGCAGTACAGCTCTTTACCCACTAGGCCACCAGAACTGATAAGGTTATAGATTCCTTCAGTTCTGCTTCAATGGTAGAATTGAACTCACCCCAGTGGCTAGATTTTCACCTGAACAATGGAAGGGATATAACAACAACATCATGAGATGAGCGTATCCATGGAGGATGCATTTCTTAGAACATTCAACCATTCAAGATCAAAGTGGCAGTATCTGCCCAAAGTCAAAGTTTAGAAACCATGGAGAGAGGGGTAGAATGGGAGTGGGATCAGAAAGGGGCTTATGGAGGGGCTCGGGGTGGGATGGCAGTGATGGCTGTCAGTGATGAGAAACAAAATGTATACAATCTGTTAGGTGGAAAACTAAGCTCCTCCCAAACGAAAATGAAAATAAACAAACCAGGTTTTCCGTTTGTCGGTGCCCTCAACAGCAGCAGATGCTTGTAGTCTTATTTCAAAGTTGAGGACACTGAAGCTTAGGGAGGTTAAATGATGTGGCCCAAGTTAGGATGAGAATTTTGATGCACAGCTGGCGATTTCCAGAGGTCTCTATCCACAGTAACACACTTCCTTGGAGTTTATAAGTAAAGAAAACAAAATGTAATTTTAAAATTGAGGTGTTTCCTTTTTGATCGCCAATATACAGAATCATTTTTGTTAAGTTTATCTTACAGGGAGTTAAGTGCTCTGCAGTCGGTTCTGACTCTTACCGACTCTGCACAACAGAGTGAAACCCTCAATCATCTTGCACAGACACACCCCACCCCCTCACCGTCCGTAGTCACTCTGTGCTTGAGCCGCCTTGTTGTGACCACTCTTTCTGTCCATCGCCTTGGGAGTCTTCTTGAAGCCCTGGAAGCGTATGCTGCAGGATGTGACGCTACTCACTGAAAGGTTGTGTGCTTTGTTCGTTTGACTCCACCAGCCTCCCCAAGGCAGAAAAACTGAGTTTCCTCCCATTAAGATTTGCATCCTACAACTATGAGATATCATCTCACCTCAGTAAGACTAGTAAAATTTAACAGAACAGTAAGCAACAAATGCTGGCAAGGTTGTGGAGAAACTGGAATCCTTATTCACTGTTGGTGGAAGTGTAAAATGGTGCAACCACTGCGGAAAGCGGTGTGGCGCTTTCTCAAAAAGTTGCAAATAGAGATACCATTTGACCCAGCAATTTCACTACTGGGAGTATACCCTAAAGAGACCATAACTGCCACCCAGGCAGATATATGCACACCTATGTTTATAGCAGCTTTGTTCACAATAGCAAGGAGTTAGAAACAACCTAAGTGTCCATCAAAAAAAGAATGGATAGAGAAGCTGTGGTATATTCACACAATGGAATACTATGCTGCATTGAAAAACAAGGAACTCATGCAATATTCAAAATGGGTAACCCTGGAGGACATTATGCTGAATGAAATATCTCAGTCACAAAAGAACAAATACTATATGGTGCCACTGTTGTAGAATGAGGCTGACATCAGGGTGGGGGTAAGATTGAGAAAAACTCAATAACTATGTTTACTGCATTGAAGCCAATGAGAGAGAGAATAGTTTAAAAGTAATATATTTTAGGGCATTATGATTATCATAAGAGTCCGGAATGAGGATTGCAGAGTGGAGTATACTTGGGGTGGGGGTGTGCGGGGTGATTGTGTACCAGTGAAGGAGTTTTTCTTTTGCTTTTCAAGGAGAAGAGCGAACTGGAGGTGGGGGCGGGGTGGGCAGGGAGCAAAGTGTAACAATGAATGAATGGAAATCCAAAATCTCTGTAGATGTTCATTGAAATTAATTTAAAAAAAAATCTGCATCCTTGGAAACCTTGCATTTTGAGGGTTTTCTTACTTTATTAAGCACGATATCTGTCTCCAGACTGGCTCCTCCCAGTAACATGGCCCAAATACGTTAGACAAAAATCTTACCATCTTCATTTCTAAGCAGCATCCTGGCTGTACTTCCCCGACAGATTTCTCGTGCTCTTTTGGTAGCAAACACATCATTCTTCACAAGTACCACAAATCAAAGACAACAGTTCTTCAGTTTTCCATATTCATTGTCTGACTTTCACATGCATGGGATAAAAACACCATGGCTAGGGCCAGGCACACTTTGCTTCTCAAAATGACAGCCTTTGGTACTTGTCCGAGACCCCTTGCAGAAATTTTCCAGTGTAATATATTGTTTGATTTCCTAACTGCTTCTTCCCTGGGCAGACTATGGATTCAAGTAAAATGACAGTGTCAATCTTTTCTCTTTATCATGGTGTTGCTTGTGGATCCAGTTGTGAGGATTTTTATTTCCTTTGTCTTGAAGTATAATCCGTACAGAAGGCTGTAGCATTGCACAGATGAGTTAAATTTGTACTCATAATATATCCTAGATGTTTCCTCTTAATATTCTTATTATTTTCTCCCCCTCCACTTAATCTTTTATTATGAAAACCAGATGAAGACTTCAAAATCTGTTTTGTACATTTTGCAAAATGAGTGAATCCAACAGCAAAGCTGCCTTTCCCCCCCTTAATTCTTCCTTCCTCTTCGTAAAAATAGATCTCCTTTTCTATTTCAACACTCAATTTGCTTTCTAAATTTTTTAACCTATGTGATGTTCAAAATTACAAACTGTGAAGGGAGGCACTCAGTTGCTATAGAATCTGGATTAATTCTCACTCTTCCGCGACCCCATCCTTTGTCATCAGAAAGTGAAAAGCCTGCAATTTCCCTAAGCTCTATTGTCTGACCTCCAGTTCTTGGGACTTGAGAAGCCTTTAGCCTGCTGCCTAACCTGAAGATAATGGCTTCATACCAGCTCATGTAGCCACACAAACCACCAGCTATCTCTTGACCTGTGGAACTGACAATAAGCCTCCACAATTGTGTAAGCCATTTCTTATAAACATGTGTTGTTGTGTGCCATTGAGTCGGAACTGATTCAAGCTGACACTCCAGCAGGTTTCCAGAGGCAGTAAATTGCACAAGAGGAGACTGCCCATCCTTCTCCCACAGAGCAGCTGGTGGATTTGAACTGCGCGTTTTTGGGGTAGCAGCGCAGCTTCTTACCATATATAAGAAGCATTAAAAGCCATGGTACTGGACTCCACAGAGCATGTGCTGCTAACCCAAAGGCAGCACCTCTCTGTGGCTTAAATCCACCTGAGGCTCCACAGGAGAAAGGTGGGCGATCTCTTCCTGTGATTCACGGTCTTGGAAAGCCCCCGGAGGGTCATCTCTGAGTTGGTTCCGACTCCACGGCAATGAGAATTTGGAGTTTTATAAAAACGTGTTTATATACATGCTTCACTGGTTTGGCTCCTTTAGAGAACATGGCCTAAGGGTGAGTATGCTTGTACAACTCAAAGAATGTAATCAATAGCACTGAATTGTTGGTGCAGAAATTGTGAAACTAGTGATTTTCTGCTGTGTACATTTCCAACAGTAAAAAAATAATTTCTACTTAAAAAGTAGTAGGGAAAGTAGTTTTTATATCACACTTTATGATTTAATACTATGACCTTTCCCAGAATACTATCAATCAAAACAAAAACTATCATTTCTATGTCTTTTGTCAAAATGTAGTTAAAGACACTGTGTGGCTGGGATTAACAATAAAGGCAAGTTACTCCCCACCCCACCAAACCCATCTACATACTTCCTATGGTCAAAAATCAAACTATAAAATTTAGCAGGCCTTTCCCCCTTTGTTACAACTCAGACTCATACCCATTAATTACCTGTTCAACAAAGATGCCTGAAAGCATCTACATCTTCAGGTGGGCTCTGGTTCCTGCATATCCTTAACTATTTTACCATCTTAAATAGTTATCGGTCAACTCCTGATACTTCTTATGGTGGAGACATTTTGGAATACTTATGTATAGAGACAAACACTAGACACATTAAAACTTATTAAATAACTTTATTCTTTTTTTCTTATTACTAACAGTAGATCAGTATTAACCATTCTAGAAAAGCTGAAAAAATTTAAAAAATAATTTCACACAAAGCATTTATAAAAATATCCATTCAGATAAGCAAATATCTGATCATTATACTGTTCAGCTTTAAAAGTGCCAAAAATAAATAAAGGTATCTGTAAATCAAATGAGAGGGCTAAATGGATTTATTAAAAATTCACTTCAACAGTTTTACCTGACCAATTTGTGCTAATAAAATTTGAATTAAAGCTTTTGCCAGTTAACATGAGAGTCAACATTGTATGTGGCTCCTTAAGCATATACCTTAACAGAACCTGCTCTGTGTTTGAAACATAGTTTTATAGTGTCAACAGGAAACAGCCATAAGAATTCCCAGAATTTCTTATAACTGCTCTATAATAGCAAGGAGGAAAAAATGAAAATGGTTATCACCATTTCTTAAACAATGGACATCAAATCTGGATTCTAGGTTTACTAAGACTAAGATAAAAAGTAACTCTAAAGCAGTAAGAGCCCTAATTAATTAACTTTGATTTGTTTAAAAGACCAAGTATATCAAATAGGCCACAGAACAGAATAGATGCTTGCAGGAACACAAGCAGTAACCTGAACTATCTTATTTCCACAAAGTACTTGAGAGTGCAAAATGTTAGTAGTCTCTGTACAGACCTATCCGCCCTGCTCTGTCAGTTTGCTTGCAGTCTGATGATGAACCACTTCAGGGAGGTTATCAGTGCTAAGGAAAACGCCAAGCAGCTAAACAAAATAACAATGATTCATTCACCTATCAGGGTCTCAAAGGCAGAGACACAGTCTCTTACACAAGGGAAAAATACCTAATTCAAAATGTCCAAAAGCCAACATAAGATACAGTACTGAATCTTCTGACACACCATCAGAATAACCGTCTTGTTACTTTGCACAGTATTCAACATGAGCAAGTAGATCCCGGTGTTCCGTGGCCGGATACTGTATGTTGCACCTGGGACACTCCACCAGACTATCATTGAGCGAAGCAGGGCTTTTTGGTGAGGCCACTTTTAGTTTGTTTTCTGACTCTCCTTGGAAAGTGCCTTGTGGTTCAGTGAAGGGAAAATCATGGAGCTCTTTCTGGAAAAAAAAAACCAAACACATAAAAACCCTGCAAATAAATACTGTTTATACCCAGAAACCTATTGTTTAATGATTTTAAATGAACCCCATTGTTCTAGCCCTGACAGATTTTCTTTGTATTTCTGCTCACCAAAATTATGGGGGCAATACATAAGGTAGCTCCGAATGCCAATTACCTAGGGTTAAGATGGAAAATTTTTATTAGGATAACCAGCCACTTCCAGTCCTCTTGGGCAGAGGAAAACTGCTCCACTGGGTTTTCAAGGCTGAAATATTTATGGAAGCAGACTGCTTCATCTTCTGATGATCAGCTGGTGGTTTTGAACAGTCAACCTTTTTAGTCAGCAGATGAGAACTTAAGTACTGCATCCAAAGGCTCCTTTTGATTAAGATACTTAAGAGCCAAATATAAAGGTAGATCTGTATGCAAGGTTGGCTAAATTTGCTAGTTTTGTAAAAGAGGTGTAATTTCAGCAATAGAATACTATATAGAACTAAGACTAAAAAAAGAATTCTAAGAAATAAGAGCTGCCACATGAATAGTTAAATGCACACCATGTCCATTCAGTATTATTTACAATTGTAAAGAAAAGGAAATAATCCAAGTGTCCATCAGGGGATGAATGGACAATGAGACTATGGTATATTCACACAGTGGAGTATCAGGCAGCACTAAAAACAATAAAGAGAACTCAGGAAACACTAACCTGGATACAGGGGTACATTAGCTAAGTAAGATAAGCCAGTCAAAAAAAGGCTCTTATGGTGTAATTTCACATTAGAAAAAGGATGGGGGGGGCAGGGGGCTAGCACACATAGAATCCATCTTGGAGAGATAGAAGGGATGGCAAGAGAGGAAAAATTAATAAACAGATACATCTGGTGAAGCGAAAGGAAATAGACAACAAGGAGTTGTTCAGACATTGTAATTAATGTTCTAAAACAAAATGCATATGAATGAATGCAAAACCAGTATGATTTAAGAACTTTCACTCAAATAAAAATCAACTAAAAAAGTTTTAGCAGATCAAGCAGGTTATGCACTGAAAGGACTAGGAGATTATATAATATTTAGGAGGGTTTCCTTTTTTACAGGCTTCTCTGAAGAATCAGGAAAGCCAGTAAAGTTTAAAAAGAAGTATTTTATAACATACTACAAAGATGGTTGACAATAGAAACATATACTAAAAAATGCAGGGAACGTTTCAAATTCCATCACATACTCTTCGGCTACATATGCTTTGAAATCAGTAATAAAAAAAAATTTCCATTTCAAATCTTTTTAACAGTTAAGGTCAATGAATGACATATTAAAAACAGAGCCACAATTATGCTTCTACCTTTTATGTATATCAAAGTTATAAACTATCTGTTTAACAATTTTTTTCTTCTTTTTAGAAATAGCTATGAGTTGGAAACCCACTGAACAGAGATGAATAGAAACCTGAGGGGGTTTTTTTAATAGGAAAAGGAATTTCACCTCAAGATTTTATGATAATCATTCCCTCTCCACTGGACTAGACAGTGTTTAATGCCTCTAGAGCCACAGCACCTAGAATGATTACCTAGTAATATAGACATTACTAAGAGATATATAATGTCTCTTTTTCTTTTTTCTTTTTTTTTTATTATTAAATTTTATTAGTTTTAATGAACATTTACAGGGATTTTGGGTTT